TGAATTTTCAAACATTTTTGTCTATTTAAAAAAAAGTGCGTAAGTTATTGAGATGGTAACAATCAAAAATCGATTATAAATTTAATTCTACATTTATTAGACAAAAAAATAAACCCTCTTGGCCCACATCCCATTTTTGACACCATGACCATGGGTGATAGTAACCTGTAGTGTATATATACAAAGAATTTTTTCTAGTAGGGTCAGAGTTGACTAACTGGTACTTGGTGTGGTACTAGGTTTATCGCATATATGGCTTAGGGGCCGCGGTTTACCTCCCTCCGTTTAGTCATGCTGGATCAGGAGTAGTAAACTCGGCGATCGTGGGTTCGATTCCCACACGGGGCAAGTTTTTTTTTTGTTTTTTTTTTTAATTTTTTTTTTTTTGTGGGTTCGATTCCCACACGAGCCATATTTTTTTTTTTTTTTTTTTTTTTAATGGCAGTTTAGTTGATGGTGGATAATGACTAGCAAACATGGAGGTTGTGTGTTCGCACACGAACCGATTTTTTAAAAAAGTTTAAGGCAGTTTAGTTGATGGTGGATAATGAACGTACAGTATTGTACTCGTTGATGATGTCGCGAAATAACAACTAACAACAACGTGTCATGTCCGAGCCTAGGCCGTCATGGAAGCTCCCTGGCTCCTGTGTAATTCATGTTGTGAGCCAACTGCAGACGAAAAGGTTACAATCTTTTCAGAGATAAGCCGGAGAAAGTTTTAGACAGTGCTCATGAATGGAAGGACTTTAATACTGAGGAATGGAAGTTAGCGAAGTCCTTGGCTTGCTTAACCGTTTTTCTTCAATCGTCGCTTCAACTGTCTAGGCGCGTCTAGTCTAAAGAGGGCCTACATAGCAGGTCGAGATCCATGAAAAGTCGTATATAAAGATGTGGGTTACCCACATCTTTATATTTGCACAAGTAATTAAAATTGTTTATTGAGCAGATTAATCACACTGATAAACAATTGTACTACATTCGGCTGATGTACATGAACTTCTATTTAGAGATATAATTTCATTTTTTTCTTTCCAAAAATCTTAATAAACGTTAACTAGCACCTTATATCGACTTTTGAATGGTGAAAATCAGCTCAGTATAACCCATTTTACCGAGTACAAATTTTAAGTTAATAGAACATACTGCTGTTACCTCATCTAGTTTTCCCCCACCGTTGTATTTAGGTACACCATGGCTGTAAACTGTGATTGTTATGCATGCAAAGATCATACGCGGCGGATATCCTACACGGTGGATACCCTACGCTGCGCTATTTACACGATCTTTTGTTACTTTTTCGCCAGTGACCTCATGGTAAAATCGTATATAATCGCCTATAACCTCATAAAAAAATAGCAAAAAAACGTTTTTAAGGTTGATTCTATTATTAATGGCATATCAAAAATCCACTCTAGAACAAAAAATCATTTTGTATAGTTTTCTTTTAAAGAACCCATTGCATCTTGTGGAAGAGTAGGGGGTTACTCCGATGCTGTGGTTCATTTCAGGCCCTACAGTGTCTTTAAATGATGTGAACATGTACCTGCAAGTGCCTCTTTACGGATAGCCATGGACCACGCCCTTGCGTAATTCAGCACAATGACGCTTTGAGTTATGGGTTATTCTCCTACCTTTACGTTTTATGTGAAATAATGTTACAGTAGATAAATAATTGTGTTCACTACTGTTGCAGTACCACCAAAGGAGAGACGATTTCAACAGCAACGCTTCCAGACAGTAAGGAAACAAAGGTATGAAGGCTGTGGATAAATTATGAACAATTCAGGCTGAAACTATGGACCTATTAATAGGTCCATGCTGAGACAGTAAGTAGTAGGAGTGACAAGTACTGATATATCAAATGAGTTACTATGACGTCACAAAATTAATGCCTGAAACAAACACCAAACTCTTGGTCTAAAATACTGAAAAATATACTCATTCAAAGTGTTCTGAAGTTAGCAGGGAAAATACGTTTTTTATTTAACATTGCTTATATTAATACAGTGCAGAGACCCCTTTAATTCAAAGACACATCAAATTTGAGACCACTCTGTTAATGAATCAAATAACAATCTTCATTCTTTTAACACAAAGCTAACCCTCTAATTTGTGACTGACACCCCGAGACAACCACAAATGTTCAGATCCAAAGTGTGGGCTCGAAATTGTGGAAGGGGTGGGGCCAACTGTGTGAATAATTCATAGATTCATCAGAAAAATTTGATTTGATTTTAATTCATTCAGACAAAAAATATGATTAGTTTTGAGAGGCGATGCTAGGTCCATTAGTTTGGGCTAGCCTATTTGTTATGACCCTCCACATTAAATAAACTGAGATCCTCCTAGCTCATGGTGTTTAAATTTAGTATAAGACATTTGGCACAATAGGTATTAAATTCACATAGGCAGTTTTAGTTGTGCTATTATTGTTGTTTTTTTTAATATTTAAAGGTATGAAAGGCATCTAGCATGGTATAAGCACCTTGTCAAGAGGAAACAAGTACAAACAAACAATGCAAATCAGACAGCTGGCAATGCTGATGACAAAAATGTTGCAGACGATGAAGGAAGCGATAATGTAGCAGACGATGAAAGGATGGAGATGGAGGGGGACAATGAGCAAAAACCACATAGCGAAGGATCATCATTATCATCATCCTCATCATCTATATCATCATCAGATGAGGATGGTGATGAAATAAGTGATGACGTCAAAATGAAACGTATTCGTTTATCAGATTCTGCAACTATGCAACATGCTACAAGTGTTGATCAAGATTTAGATTCATGTAAACAGAATACAAACACTTTAGACGAGACATGTGAAGGAACAAGTATAGATGAAATTGGCACAAGAAAAGTTAAAACAAAAAAATATGCAGACCCAAGTAAGCAAATCGACCAATCAGATGCTGATTCATTTGATTGCAACACAAACAGTTTGGACGAGGCGAATGAAGGAGGGAGTCTGAAAGAGAGTGACAAAGTTGAGAAAAGAAAATTTGAGATTGACCAATCCACTTCTTGTTCACTTGAGCTAACTGACTCACAAACAGTTCCATCGACCCCATCTTGCCTACAAGTGGAAGGAAAAGAACCAGCTGAAAGCATTAAATTACATCCTGGCACCCAAGCATTAAGTCATATGATAGATAAAACCAAAAAGGTGAGTACTGTATAACTGTAATCATTGCAATTCTTATATCAATTTACTCAGCAATATCTATAAATATACCGTGAAACCTCAAGTAGAAGTCGTGGGCTTATTTTTTTATGACTGTTGAATGGGTTTCTTTTCAAGATGATGGTCTTCTTTTCGAGATGGGCTTCTTTTTGAGATTATTTTTTTTTATTACTAAAGAGGGGGCTAATTCTCTTAGATATGAATTCTGTAAATTTTGAGAATTACTACTTTAAAACAGTAGGACTACTGAAAACATTTTTTAACCAAGAAACCCTGTCAAAAAACAAGAAAAAATTAAAAAAATACAGTAGAGTATTTTTATCCATCAAAATTGGTCTGTATCATGGAGTTTATTATTCAGCATTAAATCTACTGAATATACCAAGTGTGTTTTTCACTGTTTATCTCTCCTTGAAATTTATGTAAAGTATACATGTAAGCCTACTGTACTATTTTATACTAAGTCCATACTATCTTGTTTTGAGATGAGCTTTTTTTGAGATAAATTTTGCAATCTAAAGAGGAGTCTTCATTTAGATATAGGCTTTTTCTTGAGATTAAACACATAGATCTTCTATTGGAGGTTTTATGGTATTTCCTTTATCTGTCAGCCTAGTCAGGACTAGTTATTTGCGGCATAAGGCCACAACCCAGGGGACTTCATTATTCAGTGCAAACACTTCGACCTCAGCGGTTGGACTATGTTTCTGGTTTTATCTCCGTCGATCTTCCAATGCCAGTTTATATTACTGTTCATTTTGTATGTGTAATGTTTGAATAATCTCTTCTTTTTTTTACATATTTCTCATCTTTATACAGAAACTGAAGCATAATACTAACAAAGAAGACCCATATAAAATTTATGAATACCTACAACTGAGCTTAGAGGAGGTAATGCTGAAATCGTCTTGAAAAAACACCATTTGCCAAGCAACTATAATTAGCTTTGTATTAACATACACACTAGATGTCATGATGTATATATTGTAGTCTATAGATGCTGAAGTTTTGGACTACATATATGCACGACAATGGAATGACCAGGCAGAATTACTGCTGTAACATCATTCACCACCATGCTGTAACTATTGAAAATATAGATACTTTCTGTGTATCTGAGGCTTTTTTTGTTTAATGAAAAGCACAACCATGTATAATTTTTAGTTGAAGATACTACAGATATTTATTGATATTGATTCTGATATTATTTGATATTAAATCCATTATTAATCTCGCATATTGCATTTATTTTACTTGTAGGCATTTTTCTTATCATATGGTCTTGGCTGTTTAGTAGTTCGGAGTGAGAACAAGGTATTGTACATTGATTAAATAATATTATGTCTTATGGTCAAAAAACAAAACAGCTGCATTCTCCATCACAGATATCAAGGCTCCCAAATAATCAGCTGGAAATGTTGCAATGTTGCAAGCCTCTTAAGAGAACTTTGTTATAGTGCAATGGAGGCCCTGAACAAACAGCTCTTCAAGCTTCATAAACAAACTTAGTTATTAATCAGTGAAGGTCCCTAACAATCAATTCTCCAAAGCCCATAAACAAGAAACGTTGGCTGTAGACTGACTGAGGGAACACAGAACACCAATTATCAATTATTGTCACTAAGTTTAATTATGTGATGGTCTGAATCTGCTACTTTTGAAAAAAAATTTAAACTTTTTTTGGGGAGTCAAATGGCCGACCTCTAAGGCAGGGGCGCCGCTAACTACAGCCTTAATGTCGGCGCTGGTTTGAGCTGCTCCTCACCCAGGATTTGGTCAGCAGAACCAAATCTTCTTGGACATAAAAACAGGAGGCCCAGTGTGGCTCGTGTGCACTTTATAGAACCCAAGAGTAGGGGTTACCCCAATGCTGTGGCTCATTCCAGCCACTGTCATTGTGGAATGATGTGAACTAAGCGCCACTCTACGGCTGCTACAGTGGTCATAGACCACCACCCCATATGCAATTCAGCATAATGACGCTGTGAGTTACGGGTTATTCTCCTACCTTCACTTTTACTTACGATACATCTTTCAAACTACTTGATGTGTTCTGCACTCAGGAACTGATGAATCTCACAGATATGTGGAAGGAGTTCTGCTCTCGTCAGCCAACGTTCCTGCGTAATTACATTGCGTATCATTATTACCGCAGCAGAGGCTGGGTTCCAAAGACAGGCGTCAAATTTGGAGCTGAATTCAGTGAGTACACAATTTTGAAGTTTTTGGTTCCTATTAAGAAATAGTCCTGTAGTTGTGCCCTACTGCTTGAACACATTATCGGATAAACATATACACCTCCACCCAAGACTCAGAATTCTATGGATTAATGGGAAGACCAATGCATAAGCTTTTCCATAAAGACGAAGTATGTGTATGCGCTAATGTTGTGGTTCGCCAAAATTGTTTGGAATGGATCCACCAGAGCGTGATATGATTTTATTGTTTTCGTGATACACAAGTTGCTGCTAGGCAAGTTAAAAATTTTGGGCAAGTATAACAACTGACAGACTTACCCTTCTGACAACTAAGTGAATGTGTAAAACTTCCAACGTTATCACACTGAAATTTTACATCCGTGTAAAATTCTAAATGCTAATGATACCGTTAATAGGAACCTCTGTCTCTATTGGGGTCTGCTTTTATGTAGTGTTAACTTGTTCTGCAGTGGTGGTTTTGCATAGGGGCCCAGTCCAAATCTTATATTTGCTCAATTAGATTCAATTAGGTTACTTTAATGTTGTATTTTTAATTTATACTTTGCTTTTACTTATTTTAGTTTTGTACAAGAAAGGACCGCCATTTTACCACGCCTCATATTCTGTTATAGTACGAATGGCTGATGAGAGGTCGTTGGTGTCAACAAATGATGCAAAGGAGCGGTGGTCAAGATGGGCTGGATTAAACAGGGTCACAGAAACTGTTGCTAAGGTCAGTTGGTAGGGTACTTTCTACATTTCATTTTATTGATCCTCAAATGTCAACTGCTAAATTTCATAGTAGCACAATATATAATGCAAAACAGTAATGATTGACAGTTAGGAAAAGAAACTTTCCTTCAGCTTTAAAAGATTTCCAGTATAACATTCAAAGATATTGCACCGATATCAAAATTCGTAATGCAATTAAAAAAAATGACTGACAGACGAGAGCAGCTGGTACCGGTTTACCAGGATCTCAGAATGAAGAGACCCTAAAGGGGAGAAACAAGTAACTGAAGAGGTTGTCCACACTTTGAGACAGTTTTGGTAAACTGCTATATCAATATACTACATTACATAACTATACTACTCCTATTTCAAAAAATACTCTGTCAAAGTTCAAATATTTTGCTTTTTTCAGGAAGTACTATTCTGTTACGTGATCAAGCCCGCCTTGTTAACGGAGCAAGACCTAATGTCTCCAAAATGCATCAGCAGTTTTACCATCAAGGAGATTGTCATGAAGAGAATAGTGCCCTCTAGAGAACGAGCAAATCCGCAATTGCCTCCAGAGATAACATGAGATACCTGTATACATATTGTACTCGCTCCAGAGATACCACAATAATGACCTTCATTTTCAGTACATATCACAAATGTGAGGTCTCACTACAAAATGAGTCTCATCGTTAGAAAATCAAAAAAAGAGTTTATATTACATTTTGGTAGATCACATTATAAGCTTTAATTTGGTCTTTGAATGGTATCCCTAGGATAAATAGATCCAGAGATGTTAGCATTTAAAGTTTAGGTGTAAGAACCAGGTTTTGAGAAAATCAGCCTCAAAGATAAACTAACCTGTACAAATAATAGGACTAGAATTACAGAATATGCGAAGAGAACACTGTTTTAGTAAGAAAATTCACTTAAAAAGTACAGTCATAAAATATAAGTATCAAGTTCTTCCAAAACATTAAAATCAAAATTTTGTATAAATGTTGCCTTTGACCTATTTAGGTGAATATCTCAATACGATTTCACCAACGATGCGTCTCATTTCATGGTGAGACCTCACAAATACCCTTGTTCCCTTGCCAGATATATTGTAAGATGCTTTTATATTTGTCCAAATAGCTTTATCATGAGAAACAATAAAATATTCTCTCCCTGTAGATATAGAATATGCTCAAATTTCCCCCTACTTATAACATTAAACACACTCAGTTGCACTCCCTCCTAAAGACAGCACAAGTAACCATAAATGTTGTCTTGAGTCGGCTAGCAAATGTAACAAAATGTGTTTACTTGTGTTTAGCATAGTACTGTAGTCTGTAATGTTGATCTTGATAGCGATTTGAAAATATGATTGTAGGTATTACAGTGAGCTTCAACTTTCTGTTGCCCTGTATATCAAAAGAAAGCTATCCTATGTAAAGTGAGTGGTAGTAATAAATCCAGAATTCTACCAGTTTCCTTGTAGATGTCATTACAGTTTTCTAATTTTTGCTGGGATCTGCGGAGGACCAGGAATTTTATCCCTGAGCAGTCCCCCAGGATAAACAATAAAGTAAATAAATAATAATGAATATTATGAGGCATCATATTTATATGAATAAAGAAATAATTTAAGTTTTTGTTTCTTCATTTTTAATGTTTGCAGTATCTATTTTAAATAGTGTATTTCGTAGACGTTATTTGAAAATTTAACCTAAGCAAGATGTTAACCAGCAGTTTTTCATAAGCAGGTAGATTTTGTGTGTTTAGGCAGGAAGGAAATGAGGTGATAAAGTTATAGAACTACAAATTATTAATCAGAGTCTTAGGTTTTTATCCTTAGTTGAACCTTAAACTGACTATGTATTGTAACATTTTCTAATAAAAATACATTGGTTTGAGATTGGCCCGAAATGCAACTATATATGGTATTATATCATATTTCTAATAAACAACATTGGCTTGAGATTGGACCAACATACAGCTTGGACGTGGGGGAATGAGTTATCTTAGACCTAGCTAGGCAGCAAAAAATGACGTAGTGGTTCCTCTCAAAACGCTCGACCTATAAGACTGCACTTGCCTGAAAACCTCTATTACCATAATAAGTGATAAACAATTAAAATATGAATCTGAAACAAAACTGATGAAATAAAGAAGCTGCAAGACAAAGTTAAAATAGTTGAAACACATTTTAATAGTTTGTGTAGCATACTACATCTAACAGCCTGAAATTCAGGCTATTTGATTTACTCATTTGTCACAGCGCAAGTCTCTTTCACTACAGTAGCATCAGCGAGACTAGTACATTGTCAACTGCTGGTTGTGCATTACTGAAGTAAACCGATAAAACAGACTTGTGCCAAATCTATACCTCTACACACACAGATCAATTTTAAGTATACAGTAATTGTAAAATTTGTCTAGGGGTCTGTTAAGTTCACTTAACTAATGTATACAAGAATGTTAAAATACTGGATGATATCCAAGTCAATGAGACCTGTAGACCTCTCATTGAATTCATCGTATTATATTATCACATAAATACATGACATTCAAACTACATCATGATTAGATTTGCATTGATATTACATACATAGTTATAACAAAAAGCATCTGCAATTTAGACAATAATGCTGCAGTAGGATTTCATATGGAAATGATCATCTAAAAAATTCATAGGAAAACATCTAAAAAAAAGTCTTGGAAAATATATTTGTTCACAAAAAACATTTTGAGCACACATTTTGAAGTTTAGATGGGATCACATTGTGTATTTTTCCAGTGAAATATATTTAATTAGAATCAACACAAAAGTGTATTAACATTAACCATTCCTTCATTTAACTTCAATTTCCTGGATATACAGTATATAGACAAGCATGAAGGAATGATGTGCCAACTTTTTTCACTCCATGAGGAAGCATTCCACCATCTTACCAGGTACCCATCTTAAACTACATTCACATCAATTCCGGAGGCTGGACAAAAAATCGTGAGTTGCTACGTTTTTTTAACCCTGCATTCACATTGCGCAAGGAACACTATTATTGGGGTAAGTACGTACGCATTCGATTGGTTTGAACCAACCAAGCTTGTTGCCAATTGGTCCATGGGAAAATGATGATTTCACGATACAATTGGCTCTTAGATCCATCGGTCTGGATCTGGAGTCCGGATTGGAAATCGTATGATTTTGATGTAAAAGGTCCTATTCTTTACCACTGAACCCATTTTTCATGTTCTGATGTGAACATAGCTTAAAGCCCTGTCCACACTATCAAATTTTACATGCAAAAAGTTGTGAGATGTGCCCTTATATGGGTCATAAGTCATATTACACCTAGGCTATGTTCTCACACGGCTGCCAACGGTTAGCAGGATCCGGATCATACTAACCGTTAGCTGCCGTGCGTCCATACATGAAAATCCCATGATCGAATCACTAGCCAATAAGAAACTAGAAATTGTAAATGCGTATGTGTAATTGGTTGATGATAAAAACGCGCTCAACTTGCTGACTGATAGCGCTTGCTAACCGTTAGCAGTATCCGGATACCGCTAATGGTTAGCACTAACCGATCGGGGGTTCTCACGCAGGTGCTAATGGTTAGCTCCCAATCCCGGATACTAGGGCTCTCGTGAGAACTGGGCTCATAATATAGGTAAATCAGTTACTTGTTTTTATGTAATTTCACTTTTTCGTAATATTAATTTGTAAATATAAGTGATCATTTTGTCTGTAAATCTACTTGAAATTTAGTAAATGTTTAAATTTTACTGAAATAAGGTGGTTTTTTTATATACAATGAAAGAACAATGAATGAATCTTTGTCGCATAAAATTTTATAGTGTGGACAAAAACTGGGTGGGGACAAAAAAATGCAGATGCCATGTGAAGGAAACTAACAAGCACCTAGCCTCAGACTTTGACCTTCGACCGGCAGCGCAAAGCCTGATCACTGCTCCACACTGTCTGATGAACATTTTAACAACTAAAAAAGTACATTTTGTAAAATCAAATCTTTTCATCATGATCGCACAAGGCAAACATAGTTATTATAAATATAATATGATTAATTTACATTCTGGTATATATTTACACAAAAATAATAGTATATTTTAACATGGATCATTGTTAGGATCATCAGAATCATAAATCACTTAACATATTAACAAGCTATTTAAATTAAAAGCTGGAAGATTGCATTTATTTGGCCTTTGATATATTATAACAACATAAAACCAATAATAAACATTCATAATAATAATAAATAATAATCAATGATATGTTATTCAAAATAATATTAATTTTGATAATTTTAATACTAAAAAATTTAATTTACATAATTATAATTATCCAGAATAGTTTATGTTTTAATACTATTAAACTGTACATGTATATTTATATTATTTTCAAAATTGTAGTGATTAATTTTAATTATTATTGATACATTTTTGACTTTGTAAAATGCTTCAATCTTTTTACCAAAGGGATTATATCCAAAAACTATTCATTTTTGCATTTTACAGTACATTACTTACTTCAAAACTTTCGAGTCTGTCCCTGATCTATTGCTGCGAAGTCTTCAGGCTGGTTTTTATTTAACAAATCACAATTATTACTGAGTATGTTTCTTCATTGATATTTACCAGCCAAATACAATGTTTGCTGATATCTTCCCTTAAAAAATAACTGTGATGTTTCCCACAAATATTCAATTTATCATCAAAATACATCCGGACAATCGGAGTAATCTCGGGCCCAATACTTTCCATTGTAGACCCAATCAGGTTCACCTGTATGCAAATTAGTATCTAGTCTGAACCATCGTGTGCGCCACGTTTCTTTCAGTTTGTTTCTTAACTTACGAGCAGCTCTCTGCTTCTCTTCTAGCCTATGTTTCTCATCTGAGGCGGAATCTGTGGAGAAACAGAAAGATGGACTATTTAAGTACCAATACACAGTAACAAAACATTTTATTAACATACTGTGTTGGATGGACGGATGGATATATTCGGTGTAAACACCAAATATAACTCACAAAAGTCTGAAGAAGACTTATTTCCAGTTGGGTGCTTCTGGTGGTGGTGGTGAAGACTTTTTTCCGATGAGTGTACTGTGTCCTTTAACATGTACACAGGCCATAATGCACACAGGAAAAATTGCTTAAACATCTCAGAGAGATGGTGCGCTACCGTAACTTGCTATACAGAGACAGCAGCAATGGGAATTGAACCAGGAACCAAGAGATATTCACGGTCCAGCGCATGTACAGTGGCTCCCACCAGTTTAGCCGACTGAGCTAAGCTGCTCTCCGTATTACGATATTCTATGAACTAAGTCTTCTATGAGTGACATAGCTGTGAGACAAGTATCTTGATAAATATATTTTTTTTGCATTGAAGCTATCCTCTTCAGGATCACATCTTAAAACCATATTTTTTTTATGCAAAATAATGTATTGGAAAAAAAAACAATTACCGATATCTCCATTTTCCAGATGTCGGATATCAGGTCGAAGCCGTGCATCTGTTGGACAAGCTATCTTCTTTATTTCTGGTGTTAGATTATTCAGTTGTAATGCAAAGCTTGTGAAGCTGTAATACTGTGAGCTGTTTTCCGGCCGCTTGGTTACTCGCCAGATTAATGTCGCCGAGTTGAATTCTGGTCCTTCTGGGTTGATTCCAAAATCAAGGTTGTCAATACCACCTGGACCCTAATAATCAAATGTTTAAAGAGTTCTTAATTAGTTGTACAACCACAACTATAATTTTCATCATTGTCAAATTTGGTTTTATTTATAATTTACGCACAAGGACCAAAGAATTGCCAATAACATAACCACAGCACATTTACACATAAATGGCTATGACAGGTAGTGGATTGACTGTTCCGCTAAGGCCAGCATCTTAGATACAATGGACGTTTCAATCAACCTTAAAAACTGACCATTCAGAACAGGCCCAGAAATACATGCGTGTCCTGCAAAGGCACATATTTGCGTATGTTTTTACACTATCATTTTTGTGGGACCTTAGCGACAATATCCAAGGGGCGGGGTTTAGCGGAAAGGTTGTTTTGATTGGTTAGTTTTAAAATTTGATTGACACTTCAAAAAGTTCTATTAGTCAGTACACCGAGAAACAATTCTGAGCAAATTTCTGATTGGTTTATCGTGTGCATAGTCTCAACTGAAGGATGAGAATGATATTGCTAAATAAAAAGACTGGCATTAGCAGGCCTAAAAACAAGAGAACACGTACAGAACAGATTATCTGTTAGAGCAGCACCGCCATGCTCTCTCTTGATGGAGATATCTTTTAAATGAAAACCAAATATTTTATCAACCGAGCCATATATTATGTACCTAATGGAAGGGTAATAGGGGAACCAAACAAAAGGAAAGAAAAGCAGAAAAACTGTTACTCCAGCCTCATGGACCATGAAAAGCGTCATTATTCTCGTGTTGTTGTGGACTATAGATTACTTAACAATTTTAACCCAAAATAATTAATATTCAAGCTATTTCCGATTGATGGTTAACTCTTACATACCCTTTCTACGGCGGTAGGGCTCCCTGGATTACTTCTACTATGCCGGCGTTTTCCTTTTTCCTCCCTTACTGCCTTCTTAGCTTGTTCATATTCATCGGCTCCCATACTGTAGAAATATTCTGTCCAATTACCAAACAAATAGCATATCTTCTTTTTTCTATGAGAAAAAACAGACAAATTTGACTCACTGTTGACACCAGGAAAAATGCGAGTACTTTTATACTGTTATCAAGCAAGTAATCATCATTTCTTTTTTCATGTCCTTCCCTCCATAACATCAGATTGGAAGAACTAGCAAAGCTTGAACATGAAGTAGTAAATACAAATAGGCCTATTTGGAACCAATTTATAAATTCAACAACCGCTGTCTCTTATACACATCTAGAATGTATGTTCTTGGCTCTTTTTCACTAAATCTTCCAAAAGAAATTGAAGAAAAATTTGACAAATTTTGTAAAAGGTATGCTACAAGGGCATGGAAAAAGAGAAATGAGATAAAAAATGAAAACGAACGTTTTTGATTTTAGCCCTGTATTACTTTATGACTTTTGATTTACTTTTATATGCTTCTGTGTTATCTGGCCTGATATGTGTGCTTCTTGTGTGATAAGTGGTGTAGTATAGAGTTCAGTATGTACTGTATGTCTTTATGTTTATAAGAGACAGGTATACAGTTGTGTATGGATATATATGTACTTATGTACTGTGTGTGTATTTCATGTACGTTTGTATAGTGTTTGTATAATTGTTCATGTGATTGTTTGCATCACTTCATTTTGCCTTAAGTTTTTTTTAGTTTTAGGATTGCTTTTAATTTAATTGCTTTTTGAATTGTCTTTTTCTTAGCATAAGTCTTTTTTGTGAACTTTACTGTACATTTTGTTTTGGACGCACCTTGATTGAGAAGTGTGCCACTGACTGAAAAGTGTAGTTCCTAATAAATTATTATTATTATGTCATTCGGACCTACAAAGTACCACATGCAAACAAGTGGTTAGCCTTCAACTCGAACCTTTAATATATCGGTTAGGGGTACATAACTTGGCTACTACGTACCACATTCTTTCATAATTATAACCTTTGCTGGCATTACAGAGACCCAACCCAAATTTCTCTTTATGATTTGTACACTGACAAAGTTATATTGAATATTGAATTGAATGGGTCACCCTTGATTGACAAAAAAGAATGTATGATGGATGCTAGTACGTTTAGTGTAGTCTGTGTATGGGCCCATGCAATAAAGGTAGAAGCCTTACTGTTTATCAACAATGTATCCTTCAACTTTGTGGATATCTTTGCTGAACCATCCTGCTGGCTTAAAGTGCAAGAAACATCTGTGTCCTGTTTTATGGTTGATGATTTCCATGTGTCCATACTGCTCAATCCACACCTTGCCAACAATCAGGTTGTGTACTGCACTGCTTATGCTGTGCCATGTGTAAGATTCTTCATACCTGGAAGGAAGATGAAAGTACATCATAAAAAGAATCATCTCCAATTATAACAGCTGATGTAATTGAACCATTTGGTATTGATAAAACTAGGAAAAGGTAATTAACTGTCTCCCATTATGTCAGCTAGTAAAGAGTATAGAATTGAAAAAGGTCAAACTACCCTGATTTGTATACATGCAATGAAACTTTCGATACGAACGCCTTTTACATCCTTTTGTAGGATGCCCTCTAGTTTGTGGTAGTACTTTTTGAGATAGGATTGCGTTCCAATGACACCCAGAGAGTCGGACCTCTTGTAGTTCTATACTCTTTGCAGCTAGCAACATGCACTACTGTACCTGTGCTTGATGCTTCTCAGCGATAATGATTTATGTGATAATGATTTGTGTGTTTGTTTTGTATATTTGTTTTTTTGTGCGTGATTTTTCTTTTTTGATGTTTAATGTGTTTTGTTTGTGTTTTGAATGTGATTGAATTGCGTGTGTAAATATGCATATTTTTATATATTTTTATAAATATTAAATTCCTTTTAACATGTAAATAAATATCAAATTGTTAATTGTTATCATGACCCAAAAAGGGCCACACATAAAGAGAAACAAAGTAAAATATTAAGTAAACAATAAAGAAAATAAATAAATGGGCACTAGTTTAGCTGGGCTACTACTATGTTCCATATGAGGCTTGTCATTCCAAAACCAGTGCACTTTCACTAATTTGTTATACTGAGTATTAGCACAAGAATATGGCAGTATTGTATACTTCAGCACCTTTACTACAGAGAAACCATAATATTTTACTCATAACTCTGGCGATAGTAAGTTGATTCCAGTGAATGACCTACTTTAAAGCTTACAATGTGGAGAATACAGTACAGCATATTAAAAATTTTCATTTTTTGGTCACTAGTGCATCAGCTTTTGAGATAGGTAGAAATGAAGTTTATAAATTGTAGTATTCATAAAACATACTATCATTACAATACAACTGGGCTATTTGTACAATAAATACACTTACACCTAGTGGTTGTTAACATTCATTAAATACAAATAATCAGAGTGGATCTGACCTTAAAGTGCTATGTTGCACTGTCCCTATAACATACTTTTTTTTACGGGTGCAATCCATATCTGTATCTACACAATAACTTACATGTACAAACATGTACTAAGTACGGCAAAGTGTTCACTTCCTTATTGCACTATTCGCTATCATATTTTATCAATTTATATTAACATTTTATCAACATTTTATCAGGCAAATCGTCTATCTGAGGTTAGAGTAAACAAATGTCAGTGAACAAACACCATACTTGGGCAGGTCAATTGTAATGTAAGTACACCTTTAGGGGTCACCTCTAAATTCTTTCCACTTCCTTATTGCACTATTCGCTATCATATTTTATCAATTTATATTAACATTTTATCAGGCAAATCGTCTATCTGAGGTTATAGTTAACAAATGTCAGTGAACAAACACCTTACCTGGGCAGGTCAACTGTAAGTACACCTTTAGGGGTCACCTCTAAACTCTTTCCCCAGAACTTCAACTTGGGATTCACTGAACCGTGAAATTCAAAGTTATTTGCTGATGCATGGAATGCACTGATTGGTGGGTGGTGACTGACTTGCTCGGATATTTGTCGTAAACCGTAATTATCCCTTAAAAAATAATTCAAAAGAAATAGCATTTTAAAATGTTTATATTGAACAAGAAATTTAGTTTATATTAATATTTTGGATACTGTGTGAAAAATCCTGAGAAATGTTAACAGCTTTACTACCTGAAGAAAGCTCTCCAAACAGATGAACTCCTGTAATTCATAAATTCATGAATGCATTTGTTATTACTGCAGTGTTCTCCTGAAGTCATTTTAATCGTCAATTTCACCAGTAAAAATAAATGACCAACCAGTAAAAATTGTGTGTTGGTAGCAGAAAAAGAGCACTTATTAGGCCTAAGTAGCCTAGGGTGGCCTTCTTTTAATAAGCAAACATCATTCCAGTCCAGGCTTAGGCTATGATTATGTATTGTTTTTTGAGGCCATTTAACTCCACTTCAAAGTGGCAATACATCACACGTTGCGCGCACTTTGCTGGCTCTATATGGACAAATTTACTACTAAAAATGTTTCAATTGGGAGAGCACTGCACTGGCATATAAATAATAATAATAATAATAATAATAATAATAATTATTATTATTATTATTATTATTATTATTATATATTTTATTAATATTACAGTAGAACTCTTCCTTGAGGACATCTCTATTAAGGGGCCACTTAGCAACCAAGAAAAAATATCTGTAAGAATATCCTTGAACACTATGGCCAACTCTTATTCAGGGATACCACTATTAAGGGGACACTTTTGTGGTCCCAAATGTATACTTATATGGTATACCATAACATAGTAACTCTCAGATACAGTAGAACCCCTATTAAGGGGACACTTTCAGGACCAAAATGTGTGTCCCTTCAATGTAGGAGGTCCCCTAAATAGGGATATCCCCTTAATAGGGATGGGTTCTACTGTAGTTACTAGACATAAATAAAATGCAATATATAGAAAAGAGAATATTTAGTTAAAGGTTATTTAAAGTTATTATAGCATACCCAAAGAAGTCAAACTTCTTACCATGTGAGTTCAAAGGTTTCTCCGAGAAGGGGATTGAAAGGTTTGCTGACACGCTCAATGTTAGACGCACCTGATGACACGATGAATGTTGCAATATACTACACAAAAAATGACATATTATTATTTTTTTTTTTCAACACCACTGCATGTATATTGTTTAACATTTAAATTGAACCAAAATTGCAGGTATGGGTACAAAGGACTTCTGGCAACGAGTCAAAGTCAATAATAGCCACAATTATGTTCAGCATCTACAAAACACCTTTTATAACCCACAGTGTCAAAAGACGACAATGTTATTACCCCGTAGCCATTCAATACAATACAATACAATACAATAAACATACTGTACACAACCATCTTGTTTTTGAATTACGTCTGGTTGTGTAACATTATTGATATGTACTTCACATTCATTTAAATGTTCGAGGATTAATCAAGTTTTAATTTAATTTTTTATATAGCCTAGGATAGCTTTGTTTTTTCTTGTTTTTCCTTGTTTTGCACATGGAGACCATGTACTTTGCACTATGTAAGTCTCACACCATTACCATTACCATAGTGAATAATAAATGTGATTTTATTATAGAAATATCAAAACAAGATACATTTAATAACTTATAAAAGATATCTTACCTTCATCCTGTCTACAACATCATCACATTTTCCAGCTTTGTCTAATAAATCAGCATACTCAACATATTCACTAAAACGCTGTAGAAAACTAAGGGGTTCGTTGAACACAACTGGCATGGTCATTTTGGAGAGTTCTTTACCAATGCATTGCTTCAATACAGTCCAGAGGCTGAACTGGTCTCGTTTGATCATTGGGCTTGGAAGATTTGTCCTTTAAAAAGAATACCACAGCATATTAAAGCATAGACACATGTTAGTGATAAGGCTATAGGGTCATTCCGTGCCAACTCAACAAATGGGATGGCTGGGTACCGTCTCAGATTTTCTTGAAACTCGGATATAATGTGCACCAACATGTCTGACGAACAAACCCAAAATTTGACTTGCCAATTCCAAGTCTTTTAGAAGTTACGGCCATTTGAAATTTTAGGGTCATACCCCTTTTTAGCTATGAATTATGACATATTTGTAAGTTGCATTTTCAATTAGCCATATCTTCAAATAGAATAAAGATAATTAACTGAAAATTGATATCTAGACTAACTTTTGGCTCTAGAACAGGAATATAACATGACTTTTGGTATACCGGACCCGTTACGAAATTATTGGTTCGTAAAGACCCTAACTTATTTGGTTGCGTAATTTTTCTTCCATTTTTAGACTCCATTAAAATACCCAAATCAGTTATTAAATGGGTCTTATGCAACAAATTATTAATATATAGTTGGAAATGTTTCACCACAAAAAATTCCGGATTTTTAACTTATCATTTTAGAGGGTAATCGTAGGTCAAAAGGTCATTCGGGACAAAAAATGCACAAAAATGCCTCGTTTTCATGGTGACCTTTGACACTGTGGACAAGTACGCTTGTTGTTAAAACTTGCACCATTAATTAATTTATATATGATGATCAGATTTTCCAAATATCAGCTTGGTGTCTTTATCCCTTCATGTTTAAAAAGCGATTTGAAAAGGGGTGTATTTTTCAATTTGTGACAGTATAAGTGCGTAAATGTGATAAAATTAATTTTTGAATAACGATAATATTAAAAATAATCTGCCGAGACCCTTGAAACTTATAATTCTAAAACAACTTTATGTGCTTATTTCAGGCATGCAGTTCGTTAAGGGATATAATGTTTCATTAGTAAGATATATCCCCCCAAAAATGGCCCAAGTGCAAGAATTTCGCAATAAAATTGTTTTTACTGTTGATTTCAAATGAGCATAATATTATCCGTGTACTGTCTAGAGCAGTGAAACCTTTCATTCTAGGACAACTTTTTGTGTTGATTTCAGTTATGCAGTCTGTTAAAGGAATACATTGTTTAATTAGTAAGATATTATGCCCCAAAAATGGCCCAAGTGCAAGAATTGTGCAATAAAATTGTGTTACGATTGATTTCAAATAACCATAATATTATCTGTGAAGGGTCTAGAGCCATGAAACCTTTCATTCTAAGACAACTTTTTGTGCTGATTGCAGTTATGCAGTTTGTTAAAGGGATGCATTGTTTAATTAGTAAGATATTTTGCCCCAAAAATGGCCCAAGTACAAGATTGTGCAATAAAATTGTGTTTTTACTATATTATTGATTTCAAATGAGCATGATATTATCCATGTACTGTCTAGAAAGCCATGAAACCCTTCCATTCTAGGACAACTTTTTGTGCTGATTTCAGGTATGCAGTCTGTTAAAGGGATGCATTGTTTAATTAGTAAGATATTTTGCCTCAAAAATGGCCCAAGTGCTAAAATTGCGCAATAACATTGTGCGACTATATATTGATATATTTCGAATGAGCATAACATTAACAGTGTACTGTTTAGAACCATGAAACCTTTATTCTAGTACACATTTGTATGCTTATTTAATTCATGACGTCTGTTAAGGGACAGAGTGGTTAGTTAGATAGTATGATATTTAGCACCAAAAAATGGCTCAAGTGCAAGAATTGCATAGTAACATATATTTTAAATATGAGCACAATATTATCAGTGTACTACTGCCTATAGCCATAAAACCTTTAATTCTAGAAAACCTTTTGTGCTTATTTCAGTCACGTAGTCTGGTAAAAGGAACACAGTCTTTAATTAGTAAGATATTGTACCGACCCCAGAATTGTGAAATAACGGTGCTTTTCACCATTCTCGCACAAGAGCCACTTTTGGGGCCCCAATATCTTAATAATTAAACATTGTGTCCCTTACCACCAGGGTGCATGACTGAAATAAGCACAAAAGGTTATTTTTGAAGTAAAAGTTTCATGGCTCTAGACAGTACAATTTAAAATTTATGCTCATTTAAATTCAATGTCACACAATGTTATTGCTCGATTGTTGCACTAGGGCCATTTTTGGGGCAAACTATCTTACTAACTATTAGTTAGTAAGATAAAAGACTGTATCCCTTAACAAACTGCATGAATTAAATAAGTGTACAAATATGTACTAGAATATACATGTACTAGAATATACATTTACGCACTGATACTGTCACAAATTGAAAAATATACCCCTTTTCAAATCGCTTTTTAAACATGAAGGGATAAAGACACCAAGCTGATATTTGGAACATCTGATCATCATATGTAAATTAATTAATGGCGCAAGTTTTAACAACAAGCGTACTTGCCCACAGGGTTAAAGGTCACCATGAAAATGAGGCATTTTTGTGCATTTTTTGTCCCGAATGACGTTTTTGACCTACGATTACCCCCGAAAATGATAAGTTAAAAATCCGGAATTTTTTGTGGTGAAATATTTCCAACTATATATTAATAATTTGTTGCATAAGACCCATTTAATAACTGATTTGGGTATTTTAATGGGGTCTAAAAATGGAAGAAAAATTACATAACCAATTAAGTTAGGGTGTTTACGAACCAATATTTTCGTAACGGGGTCCGGTATACCAAAAGTCATGTCATATTCCTGTTCTAGAGCCAAAAGTTAGTCTAGATATCAATTTTCAGTTAATTATCTTTACTCTATTTGAAGATATGGCTAATTGAAAATGCAACTTTTCAAATATGTCATAATTGATAGCTAAAAAGGGGTATGACCCTAAAATTTCAAATGGCCGTAACTTCTAAACGACTTGGAATTGGCAAGTCAAATTTTGGGTTTGTTCGTCAGACATGTTGGTGCACATTATATCCGAGTTTCAAGAAAATCTGAGACGGTACCCAGCCATGATTTTCTGAAAATTTATTGAGTTGGCACGGAATGACCCTATAAGGCTATACAATTATGAACCATTGTACAAGAGGAATACGATTACAATATAAATGCAGGTCTCCTTAAAAATTCAAGACCACTTTTGGGACCTGGCGGTTTTCAATAATAAAAATATGTAAAAATAAGAAAAATATATTATCAAAAAAAAATATATGATAGGCATTCATTTGGGACGGTAGGAAGGTGGTCTTTAATTGGGGGAAGACCTGTACCAAAAAAAAAAAAAAAAAACATGTTCCTCTAAAATTGTCCATTATTTTTAAAGATCAAGTCATTTTGCTGTTAACACTGAACCCTTATTAAAACAGGTCATAGGGCAAGAATATAACAATTACCACTACAGCATTTTTAATAAGCTATTTCAGAGACTAGAAACTAATTTTTTTCCACTTGTCCTAAATATTATTAATGCAGTGTACAATATTCCATGATGTAATAATTACCCTCCCAGGTATTAACATTTGAATTTATAGTAATTCAAATGTTCCAATATTATTCCATGCTGACCAACAAATAAAATCTGTCAGGTTTCTGGAACAACACTGCCATTTTCATATTTTTTCCCCTGTAGACTACAGTATGTCTATGTAATAGAATTAGAATAAAAGATTCTTGAATTCAATTAAAATATACTGAATATTCAGACAAGAAGTCAACATTGTGATTGCATTGCTGTTTGTAAACAGAACACCGCAACCTGTGCCTGATCTAGGAATTCGAAATAGAAGGGAATTAAACAAAAATTTGTGTTTCCATAACACAGCAATTACCTATGTGGTTCCGATGGAATTGTTTTTATAATTTCATTCACTTTATTATCTTGTTGCGATTCCATTGCTTTCGTTGTTTCCGAAATTGTTAACTGGTTGAAAGTTCCCGGCATCCCATCCATTAGGTCCGACATACTGTGAAAACTGTCAGCGTCACTTGAACTTAAATCCTCTGCGTCGCAAAACACATCGTCTGACCCGTCAAATATTAATGGTGAGCTAGACGACAATCGTTTCGCAAGCTTCTCTTCAAGCGTGTGGTGTTCTTTCGCTAACACATGCAGCGCATCTTCTAGCACTCGTGACTTCTCCGTTTCTTGTTCAAGTTGTAGTTTTCTTAGCTGAAAAATTCAAGGTTTGTAAATTATCTACGGTGCAATAAACGGGCTATACAGTACCTTACAACTCATTGCAACAACAAAATTTGGTTCACATGACCACTTCCTTTTTAATCACAGTGCTTAATGTTATTACTGGTCATTAAAAGATTATGTACATCTTTTTAGCTATGTTAGGAGAGTATCCTTAAAGGTGCATGTTTTAATTCAACAGATTCCGGGTTGAAAATCATCGACTCTTTATAAGAAACTCATATATTTAATATTTTATTTGCAAGTCCTTTCGCCAAGGGATTTGAAGAATCCCCCAACACATTTTGTAGAAATGCCCTTATAAATTATTAGTCAAAATAAAGTGCCAATTTTGTAATCAAATTTAGCATTTTGTAATACATATTGGAATGCCATTTCTGGACATTTGAGGTGTTATCCTTAAAATCTTCTCCAACCATAGTGGGGCTGAAGTGAGTGTGGAATCAAAGTACCCTTTTGTGAAAATATAACAACACCCCACCCCCCTTTATAGAAATCCTTCCTACAAGCTTCATTTTTAAAATATGAAATATAAAATAACAATATTTATATTATACAATAACTAGCCTTCCTGAATGACTGAAAACATTCACAACATACAATAGTAATATAATAAACAATTTTACAAACAATTAAACAAATGTACAATTTTTTTAGATTGAGAATTTATAAAACAGATATACAGTTGAATCACTCTTCAGAAAAACCCCTAAAAACACCCTTGATGTGTAAACTACATCAGCACACATCCACTGACAGAATTTATGTAATATATGACTATGTAATTAATTCTATATTATGGACACTTGTAACAGAGAGAAATATATTAAAAACAACCACTTAAAAATGCACAACATGATAAATGATTATGGGAGAAAATAACACTATGGTTTATGGTTTATCCATGGAGAAAATAAAATAGATTTTATTTTCTCCATGGTTTATCTAACTTGCACAAACCACAAATAGATTAAACTACAGGCTGATTAAAAACAATCACTTTCAGATGGAATGAGAAACCAGGAAATAAACTTCAAATAGATCTTAAGTCTTGAAATTTAATAGAATAGAACTTGAATAGTATAAAATTAATTATCTACATTTCATTTCAACAGGCAAGTCTATTTTATCGAAAATAATCCCTTTGATGAAAAACAAACACACAATAAACACACCCAATACAAGCAGGTAGGAAACAACACTTTCAATAATAGCGAATCAGGGGGTGCCGTATAATGTCCATTGATTTCATTGTCTGTTGTTAGTTTACAATTCAATGACTTTTAAAAGACTTGATATTCCAACTATTCTTTTGAGGTCTATTCTGCTACCTGTTCTTTGGTTAAACCTAAAAAATAGCAAACACGTACATTTCTTTTTAGTACCAGTGCTGCAGGTGTGGTCATGAATTTAATGGCTACATACTTAATATGGTAATTAGTAACACTCTGTAATTATGTTAATTGAGTATGTAAGTATGTAATATCAACAAGTAATCCTTGTATAACTAAAATTTAAAATATAAAATACATATATACTGTAGTAACAGTGTACTCCCATGGTCTAGGCTGTGACTGTATGTGTTGCTCATTTTATTTCATAAAACCCCTCTTGAAAGGGGTAAGGACGTCCCCATAAAAAAATTATTATTACTCTATCAAAGATTAAAAACTGATGAGGGAGGGAGGTTTTTTTCTTTTTTTTTTAAACTTACCCTGCCCTCATTTTTGTTTTATCAATGTTTGCTGGTAAATTAATGGGTTAAGGACAAATATATGAAAAGCCATAAGAATGGAATCAAATATAGGCTAAAAAAACAAAGACGTTTTTGTTGTACTGTACCAGTACAGTAAATATATTTGCAAGAAATCTTTAGCCCTTCAAGTGAATAAGGATGGAAAAAATGATCGTTTGAAGTAGAAATACATGGCGATTAAAAAAAAAAATTAGAATTTCTCCAAAAGTGATATTAGGGAGCAGGGGATAAACTAATAATTATTTTATGGGGCCTAATGCCTAAAGCAGCACGCTCTAGAATGACAATGCAGTACACAATGCTGGTTAAATGTGCATACGACCTGGACAAGATTACCAATAAAAATTTTATCACTTTCAAATATGCTCTCCAAGCCTATCTAACAAATTAATACTCCTATAAATTACTACCAACATAATAAACATAAAATACACTATATTTATAATACTAAACCTTCTACAGTTTTGCACAGTTCTATGATTTTTATGAGTTATTGTATACAATAATATTACTGAATTTATTGTAACTATCAGTGTATTTGCCAACTATAGCACAGAATAGTGTAAGCATAACTATATGGTTATATAACATAATATATATTTAAAAAAAAAAAAAATACAAGCATCACATTCCACCCTAAAATAGTCTGGTCCCGGGGATGTGTCCTGTGGGGATGTGTCCTGGACAGGTTGAAAGATAACTACTATTATTTTTTTCATGTCATACTATCAATGACATGCTTACCCCACTGTAGGTCATAATATTTAGATCGAAAAAGTATTCCCTTACTAAGGGATAGCCTGTGAACACGGATTGACCATTTTTTAAGATACATTTCCCTCAAGTCACAGTCAAGAAAGTGTCCTCTTTATAAGGTATGTCTGAAAGCTTCTACCAATTTCTTGATAATACATTTTATACTACTTTTTTTTTTTCCTGATACCAAATTAAAAAAAAAAATCTGAAGATATCTTTCATAGCTTATCAGGTCCCACAAACTACTTAAATAATATTTCAAAAAGCTTGCAAAAAATTATAAGCCCCATTCAATTTTACACTGTACTCCAAGTGAATCTAAAATGAAAATAACAAGAAATGCTTCCAACTCAAACTGTCATTCAAATTTTTAAAAATAATTTACGATGACATTAATGAGCAATATTACTAAATGAAAATAAACATAAACTTATAAATCTGAAGTTTTGCTATATTATGGTAAATTCTGTATGGTAATAGCATTTTAATGGACATTAATGGCCTTTCATACTTGTTACACAATGCCTTTCTGTTGCCCTCTGTCCTTTAATTAACCTATTTTCTAGATGAACATGATAACGTTTATTGATCCAACAACTGGACTTTGGTTTATGACTGATAAAAAAAAAAAAAAACTGAAAATAACTTGCACTCTATTTTAAGTGTATCACTTTCCAGACATAACTGTAATTCCTTGTAGATTATTGTTGAATAATAACTTTACTGTACATAATTTGATAATATATGAAACATCATTTTAAAGATATCCTGTCTGTAGAATAATCTAGAAATCATAAAAAATAAATTAACACAATTAAACTGCTCTTTTTTAAGAGAATAAAGTTATTAACTTCCAATTTGATACGAATAAAACAAAATCATTTTCACTAATTTACACACCTTTCCTGTGAAATTCCATAGATGATTACCAGTCAATTGAAAGTAGATGCAAAAATGTCTTCATCATATTTGCTCATATGGCAAATTTTCGATGGTTATCTTCTGGCAAATTATATGTATGTAAATTAGCAAGAAAAATATTTTCGTATTTTCATTTTAGATTAGAAACTAATATTAATAACTTAAATACTACCTATTATTGAATTTCAAATTCATTAGTTATACATACATATTTGGTACCAGTTTTAGTGTGAATATCACAGCCTGAAATATTATATGCCTATGTCATTCAATATAATATATGCTGTACTGACTTCAAATAACAAAATACACTATATAACATCTACCAGTCAACTTACATTGTTTGTGATGAAACACTTACATAAACTGGTGTAGTTATGTTTTAACTATCATACGATATAAATTGTATAAACTTGAGTACAGATCTTCCAATTGGAGCAAATGAAGGCATATGAAGTGTGTGTTAATTTACTTTTTCAGAATGGTCTACAGTGACTGTGTACAATAATCTCATGATGGTTTGACGTATATTTGCAGTCTGACAAGAAGGTCACAGAGGTCAAATTAGAGTATACAAACAGGGTAATGGTATAGTAGAAGTACGTGTATGGTATAGCATCGCAGCGATTTCTTTTTGTATTGCAGCTCAATTAGATGTGATGTCAAAACTATTCAAACACTACGTGACAAATATCAATATATTAATAATAACAGAATCGGAATTGTTTATGATGATGTCATTTTATCAATGTTTCAGAAATTCCTATTCCATGCTAAATTACATGTCCTACAGTAGAGCTCCAAGAAAAGCCATTGGAAGCATGACACTATTGGAATGGTAAGGACTTAACTGTAAAATTATGCCAGACACACATTAAATTATGCATAACTATCAAACTATAATTATGAAACTAACATTTTAATATCAGATTATAAGCATGCTTGATAAAATGCCACACTAAAAAAAAAACGATTACAATAATAATTTTATCAGATTATCAAATACTTTTATACATACATGAATCTATTGGAATGGTACAAACTTTGAATCTATTAAACTTGTATTAATTTTCCAAGTATAGAAATATATGCATAATTATGTTATAACTGTGAACTTGATATGCTGCACCCAATCAGGATGTTTCTATTTTCAAAATGATAAAGGCATGCTTGACATCAGCAACTATGGTCAATGTATTGTGCTAAAAAAACATATACACATGAAAACAATTTAAATTGCTGAATTAAATATTCTTAAAGATATCACTTGAATGAGAACAAAATTTCCTCACCAAATACTAGATGCAAAAATAACATGTTTCTTCAAATAGACCCTAGGGATTCTCCATTTCCAATTGGACTTTAATTTAGTCTTGATGTACACGACTTCACACAAGCTAAGTATATTTCAATGACAGCTAGCTGGTACAATGGAATTCATCATTTGTTAAAATAACATTGACAAAATGTACAAAAAAAAAACCCTATTTGATCTACTGCCCATTAGGCTTTAAATATGGAAATAAGACAATCTATT